TTTTGTAACATTACTTTAAAATGGTGGTGAAATATTACTTATAAATAGTGGTGTAATTGCCAAACACAGTGTTAGTGTCTATTAAGTGGAGTAAAACGTGGCCAAACCAAGGTCACTTAGTGCTCATTGTAGGAAACAGTATGGGAATTGCACAACAGGTGATTTGCGCCTCCAAGCATGACTTTACCTACTTTTTATAATACCAAAAAAAATAAAAAATAAAAACACTATTTATCTAATAACTAAGTAGAAAGTTGAGAGTTTAAATTCTCATTAGGACAATGTAGGTGTGGAAGTGTTTCTTAACAAGAAAAAAAAACCTATACTTTTTCGCATTAAATAGCAGAGCCAAAAATAAGAATTTGGGGGCCAAAATAATATTATAAAATTAAAATTTAAAAATAAAATGATTATAACCAATTTGAAAGAAAGTTAAACTCCATTCGACATCTTGGAATGTCGTATATTTATTCTTAATTGATATGAATAGAATACTAATAAGTTGTGGCAATGGTTATAATAGTAAATATTTTAAAAACTATCATTAATAATAAGAAATATTTTTTTAAAAGCATTTTTAGGGATGCCAACTTTAATTTTTCTATACAAAATTAACACTATATTAATAAGGGAAAGTTGGGAGATGATATTAACACTTTACTTTTCTATATTTGCACTTCAAACTTAAATGAAATGACAATTCTAACCATATCTTTACAAGTAAATGATGATTATTTTTTAAATAACAGAAGTGCCCATTCAGATTTCCTCTCCTTATGTCTAATCTATAATATTTTAGGTCTCTTTTTACCCAAAAAAAAAAAAAAAAAAAAAAAGAATGAATAAAATTAATAACTACAGTATAAATACATACCATAAATAGGGTCTCTGGCCCAAGTGACAATGAATTGTAATTGGGCTGGTCCCAGAACCAAACTCCATTATCACTAGTCAAACCCAAGCCAGCTTTCTAGGAAATAATTTTCCCACTCTCCAAACACATACTTTATCCTAATTAAGTAGTGTTGCTTCAAGAAGACAGGTCTTTAATGATTGGCTGAAATTTGGATTATCCAAATGAGACATGTTTAGCAAAGTGTAATAACAAACTCATTAAAGTAGACCAGTGTTCCATAGATCCAAGATTAAACTTTGCCAACTTATAATTATATTATTCCCCTTTCACTAAAGTACATTCTCATCTCTCAATGTGTTTGCTTTAATCCCTCTGTCTCTCTCATTTTCATAATATTGTTTGGCAAAAAAGTCTAAAATGCTCATGAACAAAAGTCTCAAATGAACATCAAAACCTATGTCAAAAGTTACTTTTAAAATCCTATGTTTAAAGTTGCAATAGTAGTATCATGCAAAAAAGGAACCTTCTTTTCAATTGATTAATGATGGGTTTGCATCTTGAGCTTTGCTTTATATACCACTTATTTTAAAAAAATAATAATAAAAAATAAAATAAAACAACTTGACATCTCATAAAATAACTAAAATCATTTTGAAGAATTGTGCAATAACAAACAAGGCGAACACTATTGTGCAATAACAAACAAGGCGAACACCAACTTAGTGTAAAATTTTGACTTGGCAAGTGTAGAGATGTAAGCTGAATTGCGAGACGAGTCGTTTTGTGTAAAATAAGAAGACTCTTTTTGATAAAGGTAATATATTAGTATCCAATTTGATTTTTGAAACCTCATGTTGGTGGGATCACAATGGTCTTTCTAATTCTCGAGAAAAAATTATTCATTTTTCAAATATATCAATTATTTAATTCAGTAAAATTGATGCATAATCCAACAAAGATGTCTGATTTCAAAATGGATCCTCTTCAATAATTTACATAATCCAATAAAGATGTCCGCTTTCAAAATGGATCCTCTTCAATAATTTTGGTCTCTAATCATTTTCATGACAACATTCACAACAGAGGGTATGAATTCGTCTAAGAATTAGAAGAAAAGGGTTTTATGAGCAAAGAAATATCCTATCGTGAAACTCAACTATTTAAAAAAAAAAAAAAAATTCTTGACATCTCAAAAAATAACTTAAATCATTTCGAAGAATTGTGTAATAATTATTGTAAAAATTCGACTTGGCAAGCGTAGAGATGTGAGTTGAATTGTGAGAATAATCACTTTATATAAAATAATATCAAATATTGAACTCTATCTATCTATCTATATATATATATATATATATATATATAGTTTGGTTAATGTCTAACTTTTCTTTTTAATATCAAAAGGATATGCACTATAGGCCGTAAGAACATACTTTTTTTTTTTTAATTATTTTTTTTTATGAAACTAATACGTTAGTATTCAATTTGATTTTTGAAACCTCATGTTGGTGGGATCACAATGGTCTTTTTAATTTTCATGAATTTTTAATTTAATTTTATTTTCCAAAGTATCAATTATTCTATATAGTTCAACCAAGATGTTCGATTTCAAAATGGATCCTCTTCACTAATTTTGCTCTCTAACCTTTTTTTCAAGACAACATTCAAAACATGTTATGTCATTACTCATTGATATGGTTCACAGTATCAGTCACGATTGCGGTATAACGGATTCAGATTAAGTTAGTGTAAATTGACCGATACGAATTACGAATCAAATTTTAAAAGAGATCGCGTATAAAACGATACCAGTCATAGGACAAACCATGCTTGTTGAACCATCCAATATGTATGGTTTGACATGCTTGAAAAATTATTAGGCATTATCCATATCTGTTTTGATATAAATTCTTATATTTGTTGGCTTATCTTTGTTGGAGGAGTCCGAATTCTTTGCTTTAGAGGGTATGGATTTGGCATTATCCATATCTGATCTGATATAAATTCTTATATTTGTTGGCTTATCTTTGTTAGAAGAGTCCGAATTCTTTGCTTTAGGGGGTAAGGATTCCTCAGGAATTAAAAGAAAAGAGTTTTATGAGCAAGGAAATATCCTATCGTGAAATCCAACCATTTGGAATATATACTCCATCGGCTCCATATTAGTGATTTTATTTTTTTATTTAGGAATGTCTCGAATTGTTTTATTTGAAAAATCAAAGCAAAACAAGGTCATTTTTTTTCATAATTACCTTCTAACATTTTAAAAATCTCAAAATCTAATACCCCCACATGTACAGTAGTATATTTAAATTTAAAATAATAATTTGATAATTTTAAAATGAAACAATCATACTTTTTAAAATGCTCTAACACTCAAAGATTAATATGAGACGGAGAAGTATATATTTATAGATTTTTGTTGGAAATTGAATGGCTATGATCATTCTGATTTAACACTTTCGGTACATAGGTACAGAACTTCCACTTGATTGGGCCTAACCCGTGGCACGTGTTAGAAAGATCCTCTGTACACAAATCCTCACAACCCCAATATGATGTTGGATCTGTAAAGGTTCTCCAAACTGGGGCCCATTTGATGGACGGTCCAAGTGGTGGATTCAGTATACTCAATCATAGTTAGGTTTACTTGGTGTTTGTGTGTGTGTGCCCCCTCCCACGTGCCGGAGCTGCTGCGAGGAGCGTGGGCTTTAGAGAGAGAAAGTAAAGACAACTTTCTGCACTTAGGGCCGACAAATCCAGGCCCACCATAAAGTGATCCTCCAAATAAAGGCCTCATCCTCCTTAACCCAAACACATCCTTACCACGCACGTGCGACTGTAATTATTACACACCCACCCTACATACACTCTCTCCATTCTCATCTTCTAAAAAGAGTGTCAAATTTATTATTAAAAAATATAAATATAAAATAAAAGAAATACAAGAAAAACACTTCACAAACAACAAAAAGCCATTCATTGCCAAATAACGCGATCCGTTTTTAGCTCCCTAACTATATAACGGAATTGTCCCTCTTGACATTCATTTTACAAAAATACCCTTCTTCTTGGAGGTATTTATTTATCTATGCTATTAGCTGGCATGTTTGGACTTGCAGTTAGATGTGGCGGAATCAATTTTATTAATAAATTTATGTTTAGTTGTGTTTGGTGATAGAATAAATTTACTTTTAAGTTGTAAATAATTTGGTGAACAAGAACTTTTAATTAAGCTTATTACTTCTTGAATTGCATTTCAAATAAAGTTATGCTATGCTGTGGGATAATGTGTTTTCGAATTGAAATTGGAGAAAATTTAATTTAAATTTGAAATTAATTAATTAATTAATTTTTTTAATTCTCATTTTAAGTCTTTGATTCTGTGCTCCTAAATGCAACATCAGAAATATTATGTAATGAATCTATCGAAGTGAATTTTTCTATGAAATATGATTTTTGATATTGTAAGACTCCAAGAAAAATATTTTGTTAGACATTACAGTAACATGTTTGCCTACAAAAATTGGTGAGAAAAGAGTGAAGATGGATTCCTTTAATATCATTTAGCATGAAGTGAATTCATACCATTAGAATTAATTTTCATTATTCCATTTTTGGCCTGAGTTTTATCATTGTATAAAAGTAAAACAAACATATATCTACAATTTATTTAAAAATAGAAAAATGGCAAATATAACTCTCTCTCTCTCTCTCACACACACACACTCACACACACAAATTGAATAAGTTGACTTAATATGTTGAGCGACAATGGTATTGCCTTTTCAAATACCTTTTTTTTCTCTCTTTGCTGTCTATCTCTATACATTCAGACCTTTTTTCCTTATTTAATCATAAAAATTAGGCAGAATCTATAATAAGCTCTTATAATATCCTTATCCATATGCATGTATAGTTTAAAGAACTGAAAGTTAAAGCTGAACAGGAAGACTGTCGATGAGGATGATGATTTGGTTCTGATTTTTATGCAACACCAAGTACCAAAAGGATAAATTTGTCATTTCACTATATTCAAGTTGGTTAAGTCATTTTGCATGGCAAACTTGGGCATTTCTGGAATCAAAATTCAAACTGTTTGTATATATATACGCACAACTTCTGCCACCTCCACAAACCTCTCGGCCACTCTCTCTCTCTCTCTCTCTCTCACACACACACACACACACACTCAGCTCCTCTTTGTCTCACACACTTCTCTTCCCTTTTTTTTCAATGGAAGAAGCTCACAAGGAACTTCAACTCCTCCCCACCTCACACTCCACACCTTCTTCATCCAGAATCCCATCATGGCCGTCCGATTCATCGCTTAGATTCCGGTCATCGACGGGGTCTGAACCATCACTGGACCTTCAACTGTCCATAAGTTTAAGGCCAATTAGGCCTCCCTCATCAGACTGTGTCATAGTGAGGCCTAACATCTGCGACTACACCTCCGGTACTGTAAGACCCGACATGGGTTGTGTGGAGGCACTGAAATGGCAAGCTGCAGAGCAAATTCGACTAGCTGCAATGGAGAAGGCGTACGCAGAAAGCGTGAGGGAGCTCACTAAGCGCGAAATGGAGATGGCACAGTCCGAGTTCGCGCGAGCAAGGCACCTGTGGGAGAGGGCTCGCGACGAGGTGGAGAAGGTGGAGAGAATGAAGGAGAGAGCAACGCGACAAGTGGATTCTACATGCATGGAGATCACTTGCCAATCTTGCAGGCAAACATTTAGACCTTGATTAGTGTTCATGATCACATTGATTAATTGGATATGATAATACAACTACTTGCTGAGTTTGTATAAGTTGGGGTGAGCTAGATTGGAATCTTGATATATTTTTTTTATTTGGCGCGACGAAATGGGGAAGAAGGAGAGAGAGGACATGATCATGAGGATAAAGCGGCATTAATTGGAGGTTCAAATATTGCTTGCGATTTGTATGATGAATAATTAACTGAAGGATTTATTTGTTACACAGATCAAATAATACAATTGTTGGTAAGAATTCAAAAATAATTTTTCACATTTGAATTGAATGAAACACTTGTTTCTGTCTAGTCTGCACCATTGTTGATTCTTGAATTGCTCATTCTGTTTCCATATATAAACAAAGAGTTTTTGTTCATTAATTATGAGAAATTTTAGTTTTTCAAGATTGAAAAATAATTTTGTGAGTGTATATATATAGCAGTTTCAAATTAATTTCAGCACAAAAAGAATCCCAATCAGAATACAATACACTGCAAATGCAATTAATTTATTTCTGTTATTCAAACTTTATTAATCCTAATCTAACATCACAGAAATTCATTAATTTCATGATACAAGTCAGGTTGATGTTCATTACAGTTTGATAATTGATTCTATAACAATATTGCTATCATATTCTTCTTCTTCGATCTTCTTCTTTGTGTGTGTATGTGTGTGTGCCCTCCATCCTTTCTAGCATTAATTATTTACTGATATAATTAACTTTCTAATAAAGTAAATATAATGCAAGAAACTCTTAGCTAGATACAGCAATTATATCTAAATCATAATTTGAGAGTCTCATTAGTGGTTTCAAATCTTGGAAGCTCAAGAATGGAGTTTCTTAAGAAATGGCACATCCATGCATAGTTGTCTGATCTAATGCATATGCTTGTCAATAAATCAAATCAACTAACTGAATACCAGATTTTCAAAAAAAGAACAGTTTTTGGGAATCCTTAAGGATCAATCAAAATAGAAACTATACATATATATTTATATATATATAGTCTGGTCCATATATATATATATGTATATATATAATATATATGATTGATTGGACTGAAGCAGATTAGCCACCTAACTCCTACTAAATTTTCTCATAATTAATTGAAAATTATGAATTGCATCATACAGAATGATCAGTCCCTGACAGTTTGTGCCTTTACACTTGCAATACAATTCAGGACATGAGTGAAAAAATCAGACACAATCAGTGGTTCAATTGAGAACCTTAGTGTAATTGAATGCATAGCTATAAGTACTACTGGAAATTTAGACACTAGAATTAGAACAACACATTCATGTCAAGGTAGAGAGAATTGTTAAATTTATGGGTTTTAAAAAAATTTCTAATCATTAGCAACAAAGCATTTCCTATGTTCTGCTGAATTAATCCAAGTTCCGAAAAAAGTTATTATGTTCCCAAAAATAGTAATACTATTGAAACTCAGGGACTCAGGACGCGAGCCTAGCCTCACGAGTCAAAGTCTGATGTGACGAGAGAGTCAAGTTCAGAACCTTGATTTGGATAGAAAAGGCAAATGAATCAGAACAAAAAGGAAACCAGTTCATCTACAACAAGACGGTATAGCTGTATCACAATTTGTATGCAACTTCTTAACTTTAGTCTCTGCTAATCCGAAAAACCAGACACCCACTACCCATGTCTGGGATCCAACACAAAAGAAAACATATTTTTTTTGTTTTTTGGATCGGATGAGTCTTGCTAAAAAGCATCAATCAGAGCAGTAAACACACAAGGGTTCCATTCAAGATGTCGCGGGAGTGGAATTCGCTTCATTTGTCAGCAATCTACAAACACACATTACTTGGATACAGATAATCTGTCAAAGTTGTGGCTTCAATAATACACTCATGACTTGATTCTTTCATGTGGTCATGACATAGTCTAGTGGGGGCATTAGCATCATAAAGTCTCCAAAGTTCTTAGTCCTTATGAAAAGTATGTTTTGCAACATCATGGATGGCATTGGAAGCGAAAAGAAAAAAGTGTTGAGCTAATCCGGATCACGCTAACTGCAATTGCCCAATTCATAATATTATTGAATGAATCATGTAACTTTAGTGCTGAACCTAATTTAGGGTTTAATAAGGACTTCCTTTTCACTTCTCAACCACTTAGATTATTGCTTTTCCTGCAAATTATTGCTATAACGACACGAAAAAAAAGCATTAAGACCACCCTTGTTTAATACAAGCAATACTAATATATATATATATATTGAATAGTGCAGAAAGGGACTAGTGACTACAATGCATGTGGTATAGTGCAAGTGACTTTAGAAAAATGCAGTAAAATTTACAATGTTTCAAAGATGATGATGGCGTATGGAGAATCAAGAGTGAGTACTTTTTATGGTCTCTAATAGTATGGGATTTGGATGCCAGTGATTAAAATTGACATGCACCTTAGGACTGGTGGATCATGTGATAAAATTTTTTTTTATAAAAAAAATTGCCTACTTTCTGCTATAAATTTGAACTTGCATGGTTCAATAATCAAGTAAGGACTAATTGAGTGTACGCATTATATACGACCATGTATATTCTAGATTCCTTGTCGTTTATTTTTCATTTGGATACATTCGGAGAATTACTAGGGCTATCAATTCTTTCTGAAAGTCGAAGAATGGGATAAAGTTGTAGGACCTGCTGTTTGTGGAGCAATCACAAAAGTAGTCATTGTGAATTCATGACAAATCCATAACATTTGTCTTTTCACGTTGTCCATATGTTATATTGTACAGTGAATTAGTATGTAGTGTTCCTATTTTAGTGTAATGTAGATATGCCATACAATACACATATATAGATAAGTATATAAGGTACACAAAAACACGATGAATTATGCAAAAGAAAACATCTCTGGTGCTGTTGAATTATAGATTAGTGTATGGACACTACAAGTCCACACACATATATCAGCTTTTCCTTCTGAACCAGCAAACATATATGTCTATAAGCTGTACAAAAGTTATGGTTTTATCTATAGGACACTGTGATTCCTCCTCAGTACAAGACTTACAATAAAGGGTTTGGATGGTAGCGGTGAGACGCTATAAGAATTAAGAAGGGACAAGGAGTGGTGGAGCTTCTTGAGGCCATGTGAGGTTTCACTTAGTTGTTGAATGATTTTAACTAAGGTAGGAAGTAAATTTTCAATGAACATAACTAGACCATTTTGTCATCTCTTTTAGGGTAACAAAAGAGAGATTGTTCAGTCAAGTAAATTGTAAACCGAAGGGAAAGTAAAGTGAGGTTGCTTTTGATGGTTGGGAAGTTAGATCATGGTGGGACTCAAGCACTCACTATATGGAAAAATGTGGAACACACTATGGCATTCCTAGACTGAGCTTGCAATTGAACTGTGTATACACTTTATGTTGATCAATGATGAGAGATAAAATGATAAAAGTGATCCATAATGGAGTTTTAAATTTTCAGTTATGGTTGACCTCAACAACAGAGCTGGAAAGCTGTGTTAACCATGGTCTATGGAAGCATTTCATTCTTCTCAAGCCATGAGTACAAATATTACCACGTTGTCTAAATTTAGCAAGGATACAAAAGCAGCTATGTAGCCAATAATAACTTTTGCTATCATTATGAGGCAAATAATTAGTGTAGCGTACAACTTTTACAAGCTAGTGACCTCATGAAGGGGTGGTTACTGGAGAAATTTTACATGATTCGGACTATATGATCCCAGTCAATCGCAGCTCGACACGTAAGTAAATGCATCGGCTTTATATATACTATGATTTGCTGTATCGGTCGATTTGTGATGTATTGGCCTGTTTGTAACCATTTTTTCAAGGGTTCAATATCATTACACACTTCTATAGACTGACCGATTCGACTGATTTACACTAATATTTATCCGAGTCTGTTACATTGCGATTGCGAATAATACCACGACGAATATTACAACTGCGAATCATGATATATACAAATTTTTACTTGCTACGTCACCGAGACCATACAGTTTCAGATCATGTAATAAAATCTCGTGGTCATTACTATGGTAAATATGTAGTTAACAATTTAGTGTTCTTTTGGAATCCTTGTAGCCAAAATGTTGGGGTGGAGGTTATTTTTGTGTGACATAAAATATAAGGGTAGGTAGTGAGAATGATATTCTCAATGATTATTGTCCCTAGTGAAGGTCTTTTCATTACTACTGTATTACTACATTATTAACCCTTTTGGTTGTAGCTTTGTTACTCTAGTAATAGATATGCTTCTAGAAAAATACGAAGTTAGGTATTTGGAATTGTGCAGGAGGCCGATAGCAAATTATACGAGTCCTAATTAAATTGAATGGTGTAAGGTGTGGGTCAAATTTGTCAATGGAGGTTTTGGTGGGCCAATAAGTAAGCAATCAGGTATGGCTGTGTGGAAGGGCAAGATGCTGTAAAGCCTAATTTGGGTTCCATGAAGTGGCTTAATGAGGTGGTAGGCCCCTTGCTTGGTAAAATTTAAGAATGTGGGCCTGTCAGTTTTCGAAACGTAGGCATTTTATCATTGAATCACGGAACCTCCTTTCGAAATTTTCTCCCTACCCAAGTTGCTCAAGTAGTTCAAGTCTTAAGCTATTTGATAAGAAATTTCAATATTAAAAAAAAAAAAATATGATAACAGTCAATTTTAAGTGACAGGTATATCACTTGTCATTGGATAACAAATGTTGAAAATTTATTATTAAAAATTTTAAAAATATTTATTTTTTAATTAAGTATTGAAAATTTTAAAAAGAATAATTTTTGAAATTAGATATTTTTTTAACTTTGTTTTATTTTGTGTTGCTCTTGTGCTAAATGATTTTTTTTTAATGCAAAAATCCCATTTCTTAATATTGAATGAACTGATAGTGAATACTTTCATTGGGTATGTTTGGATATGGTAGATTTGGAGAAAGATAGTGAGAGTGTATTTGGTTGCTTAAAAATTAGATAAAAGAAATGTCAGGGAAAGATAGGAATGGATAACTCCTTGTTAGATAGAAAAAGAAATAATAGTGTTTAAGTAGTATTTTCATAATTTCAAAAATGTCCTTAACAATTAAAAGAAAGAAATTATTATTCCACTCATATCCTATTAATTTTAAAGGACATGATAATAATTTAGTTGTTATTTTTATTTTTTTTCATCTATCGCATAGCCAAATCTTCTATCTATTCAAATATAAATAAGGATTATTGAATTTTATTATTATTATTATTATTCTCTCTACTATGTATCCAAACAAGGCCTTAAGGTTTGGAACGTGAAAAGATTTGCCTCAGGATCCACCAATGTTGCCAAATTGATTGAAGTATGAAGATTTAACGGAATTTGCTCAATTTAATTTTTTTTGAAAGTATTTATTTGCTGGTTTGCTGTGCAAACTAATACTAATTTGTTTTTCACAGGTATTAATTTGTTGTTAAACTAATATTATATATATATTTTAATAGTTGGAATAGATATTTTAATTTAATTATACAAGTTTATTTACAGTATTCATTTTACTATATTCCATTTTGGTTTTCATCTTTTACTTGCATTTTTTCTTAACATTTTTTCTACCTCAATTTATACCAAAGACTACAATTAAATCTAAAAATTATTACAACAAATACAAAGTAGTCTTAGAGACCTCTAATTAGATCTTAAAATTGTACCTTAGTCTGCATTACCAAAAAAAATTCTCTCTAAAAACTAATAAAATGACCAATTTTAAAATGAAATGTTTAGTTAAGATTAAAGTTTGGATCTCCTCTTAAGGTGTTTGGAAATGCGTTGTATTGCATCATAGAATTATTGCAACACTAGGTTATTTGGTGGGAGTAAATGAACTATCAACCCTGTTTATAGGCCAAGAGTCTTTCATGAACAACTACAATCTATACAAATATCAATAATCAACAATTCAAAGAATTCTATGATTGAGTCGAGAATAATTACATAACAATTATATAATTCTAGAAGATTCTTGACATGGTGTGTAATTTAAGTATAAAATTCACTTATTGTTGGACTTAGAAGCCAAAAAGTGAGGGAGGTCCTAGAAATAAAACCACAATAGAAAGAATTTTAAAATTGGGCTGTAGAATACTCCAAAAGAAATTTTACTAAGCAATTATAGGGTATTGTAGATGTGAAGCATGCAATTTAAGTACTTATTACTTACTGCATGTAAAATGTAACACGCACGAATCGATAAATGGTTCAAAAGTAACACAAAATAAAAATTGTTATCAATAAATAATAAAAAAAACTAAAAAAAAAAAAAAAAATCAATCAATCAATTTTGAACTTGAAATTGTAGCCTTAATAACAATTAAAAATACTTTTACCAATTACCCATTAGAATTATCAGGATTGGTACAAAAGAATCAAATTGAGATAATTTGTTTTCTCCTGTGTACATGTTATTCTATTTTATTAAGATACAGTGATTTCTTATAATGCTTTTCATTGTGAAATTAATATCGGAACTTGAAATCTTGTTAGCCAATAATTAAGATTTTGAACTTGAAGGGTGGTTTTATTTTCAACTGTGGTCGCGTGTTCGGGTGAATTTTGGTGTCTGGTTTAGACCTAATGTGCTTTTTGGGTGTTGCGTGTTTAATTTTTAAGTTCCCCTCAACTCATACCAGAGATGGAATGGTACCAGAATTTTGTTAGAAAACAGGATCATTAGGAAATCAAATATAGCATTAAATATATAAGATGAAGTAACATTTTTAGTCAAGGCCAATTTATGTATTTGCTTTAGTTGAAACTGAAGCTTCCTATACAGTTATAATAAGCAATCCAGGACTAATTTTATTGACAGTCTTCTTGATATGCACGCTCTGTGTATGTTCAGCAATACAAATAAACAATATCTACTATGTTCCAGCGTTAAATACATGATAATTATATACCAGCCAAGAGGGCTTATACACACATAAACATCAGTGTGTTCTTTCTATAACTTGGACAAGCATTTAAACAAAATACCAACTGTTTGAGCTCCTCTTCTGCAAATCCCCAATTCGTATCCCCAACTGTCAGCAACCTACGCTTGATTGTGTTCGTTGAATTTGGATAGAGCTTCCATAAATGAATATCGAAAGCAATTACTTGGTTAGGATTGTTTTGGCAGGACAAAATGTGGTTGAATTTGGATGATGACCCTGTATCCTAAAATTCCAGAGTTTCCCTTTCGAAGAAACTAAATTCTCCTCACAAAGGAACTCCCACGAAAACCATTTCTCAATCATTCTGTCCACATCATGCACGAGAACATCCGTCGCATTCCCAGCTCTCGCTATCATACTTGCAGTGTAAATTGCAGCCATTCTGCCTGGTGCATCTGGTGCACCACCATCCGGTCCATCCACCACCACCACATCCCACTTCCGCTTATAGACTTCCCGCGGCAATCTTGTCAAGGCCAGCAGACAATTTGATTTTTGAAGTCGTCGAGAGTGAGGAGCACAGGCCGGATCCTGTCTTGCGTGCTTGAGCAGCCTGTAAGCCTGTTTGGCTTTTGTCCGGTACTCAACCTTGTAAATCCGAGTACTATTTGAACTTGTTTTGTTTGTCCTCAGCTTCTCAGGATTGTCCTCTAGAAAGATTGTGGTGCCATTTGCATTCATTGATGCTAGAACAAGGTGTTGGGGCTCAAGCCCGAAAACAAGGAGGTTGCAGGGGGCTCTACGAGTAATGAGACTTGAGAGAAACCGGAATTCCTTCTTAGTAAGGACTGTGGTGTTTGCTGAGGAGATAGGGCGCTTTGCGTGTGCTGGGATCTTCCTGCATGACGGAGAAGAAGTCGTGCAGTTGTGTAGAACAATTGGAGCAAAACCAGCATCAGCAGCAGCAGAAAATGAGGTAGTGAGAGTGATTTTGAGAAATCTGACGACTGAGAGGCTAATGAGAATGAAAACAAGAATCACAAAGAGTTTCCTCTTGGTAAATTTCATCATTTTCGATCCTTGACAGTAGTAATATTTGTGACTCTGATTGTTAACCAACACTGATCTAGGAAAATCTCGAGGAAGGGATTGAATAAAGGGTGTGACGAGAGGGCGGCAAGAGGACACCTCTGGGGGCATTTTGCTCTTCTCTCGGTACCACCACAGCCACCATCACAACCTCCTAATATGGTACCAGTGGTGGGTTGTCTGATTATTAGGGTTTGGTTGCTTTGATTTGGCTCCTTTGGTGTGGTATCTTCTTGAGTGAAGAAGAAGGAATGATTGATCTATTGCTTTTGTTTCAAGTGTTACTTTCTTGAATTAAATTGTCAGCTTGTCACACCTAATTTGCAACAGTTGATATGTTGCATGTTGGGCATTAATTTGTCCATGTGTGTCATCTTCAGAGATTGAATATTAAAAGGTTGGTGTTTTAATCATTTTTATGGTTAATGCTGATTTGAGTGTTTCATTGTGTTGCTTTGGTCAAGTTTGGTGGATATGAGTGAAGTTAAAGAAGGCTAGTGAGGAGTTGTTGCAAGGCCACTTTCAATCAATTTGACTTTTTCCAAGTCTGTTTGCTTCTGATATTGATAGCCATAGAGTTTGGTACTAGGTTTTTTCTGCATGTTGAAATGGTTCAAGTGCAGTGCTTGATTCTTATAACTTGGATAAAATTTATCCTAACTATTTGTTATTTGCAAAATACCGATATACATATCTCAATATATATATATATATATATATATATATATATATATATATATAATGTTTGCATACACACATACCCATGTGTATGTATATTGAGATATGTATATCGGTATCTTGTAAATAACAAATAGTTCGATAAATTTTATCCAAGTTATAAAAATCAAGTATATATACATAGGGTTAAAATCCCCCTCTTGTTAATTTTCAAAAACGTCATATAATCAAACAACCCCCGTGAATTAGCAGAAACTATTACATTGCCCCCTTTCTATGATGGAACTATTAAGTTGTTACGAAATGACAATAATGCCCTTGATAGTATATTAATATTTTATTAAACTGAAATTAAAGTGTGAGAAGGGCAATTATGTCATTACATATATAAGGTTATATTGGTGAGCAGAATGATGCAATTATTGCACGTGATTTTCACGTGATAAGATCCCATTAGCTTTAGACCGGAAACTGACAAGGAGGGGTGATATAATAGACTTTTAAAAATATCAAGGGGTAATATGATAATTTCTTTAGTTGATGGGATTAGTTGATAGTTTTTGAAAATAAAAAGAGTTTTTTTTTTTTTTTTTGATTAATGATTTTACCCCTATATATAAATAGTGCTGATACGGAGTCCCACAATGACATCATGTTGGGGCATTCTTGTGGGGGCTGAGGCTTCCACTCAGCGTGATTTTTTCGTATATGTCCAAATGTCAGCCTCTATCTATTTTCCAAAAATAAATACATATCTACACACATTAAGCATATATACGTGCCTATACAAATATATATATAATTATATAATTATATACATGTACATATACTTTCATATAGATCAACTTATACAAACATTATTATATAATACATTTACTTGAATGTCCATACCTCTATAAGAACCTTCTTGTACTTTGATATAAAATGCCTATATTCTCCTTTACATACATGTCAATGTAAGTGCCTATGGTGCATTTTTAAAGAGGGTAACAGTGAGTTATTCTGAAAGTTTCAACCAAACAAGGAGAATGATTTTTCCATTTAAAACATGTAAAGCTGTAAAACAGCTAATAAGGTATATATATATTTTTTTCCTTAATATTTAATTGTTTGAGTGAGCATTACTTGTACAACAGTGAACAATTTGAGCTACCATAAAATATTAGACATCTTCCTATCCAGTTTCACACATCATGTGCCGTAGCCACATAGGTGGTTCAAAGACTTGTTCATGCATAGTTTAAAGTATGGACAATGCTTAATTTCTCATTGGTGAATAGCTTCATCCTACTTACCTCATATGTGTTTCAATTACAAAATAACATTTAAGTTTTAATTACAAAATCAACAAAATAATAAAAAAAGTTTTGTATGTTTATTCAATGGTTGATCCGAAACAAAGGAGGGCAGTTCTATACGTTTATTCAATGGTTGATCTGAGAAAACAAAGGAGGAACTGATGTATTATTTTGTTATTGGAAAACATAAGAGTGAGTAGAGTGAAACTACTCACCCAATGAGTAGCTAAACATTATCTTTAAAAGTAACACATCACACACGCATGATGCACTACTAAGCACAATTAATGCCACACCACGCACACGCACACGCACACATGATGCACTACTAAGCACAATTAATGGGTTGAGTCCTAGTCTTGAAACCAAACATGAGGTGAAGGATCCTAATACAGCTGGCTCATGTCTGTCTCTCAAGGTAAAAATATGTTTTCAAATATGCCTCATGTTTCCCACATAAATTTGAGGAGAAAGTATTTGAATACTCAGAGAATGGTACTCGGGTAGCCTTTTGATGCGGTGGGACTCGCTACCACATTCATGATATAAGAATTGTCAGTGCCACGGGGTACTATACTTCTGGAATATTCAATACCTTATCAAATTGGAGATTAAACATTATCTATACAACTTAAATTTTTTGAAGTTACTGTTCCTTCTGATTCGTACCGTTGTGAGATCTGAAAATATTCAGATGTACGAAGAAACCGTTTTCAATTTTAAACTCTTGATTTTCAAATTACAATGGAGTAACACAAAAATATAATATAGGATGACAATTGTAATAATAGATTATCCAAAGATATTCTTCTCATAAAAGGGAAATGGCAATCATACAAGAAAACATAGAGGTATTATGTGAACGACCAAAAAAAATGAAAAGAAGATGGAAGTACTATTCATTTGACAAAAATAAATAAGAAAAAAGAAGTGGAAACGGATTAAAAAAAGTTAGTGCATAGAGTTAGAAGTGAGAATTGGTGAAAGATGACAAACTTAAAGGAAGATGGAAAAGTTAATATGAAAAATCATTTAGGAGCCTAGGTTTGGAGAAATATGATATCCTTTAAGGAATTATATAAAGTGACATTTTCATGAGTACAGAGTATGCAACATAATAAAAAAAAATAAATAAATGAAAAAAGAGAGGATTTAGAAGTAGATAATATTTGAATTTTTTAGGGCGATTTAAAAAAAATCCCTTTAACTTATAACCATTTGCAATAAATTTTCTTATGAATATTTTTACTAAAATAATTCCCATCAACTATCTCAAGAAAGTGAACTTCGTTAAGTGAATTTATAAAGTAATTTTTTGGACGAAATTATCCCTATCAAGATTAAAACTATCTATAAAACAGAAGCTAAACAGTATGCACTACAATAAAAGGACCACCAATGAGAGCAACAAAAGTGTAATACAATGATGTGCTTGTCAGTGTGTACGTAGAATACCAAAAATACTTTAGTCACCTATTAAAATAGGCAGACTACTTTAAAGCTTGTTATTGCGTTTGTTCAGGCTTTTATTTGTGTAATAAACATAATAATAAGATAGAACTCAAACATTAAAGATATTAGCAAAAAAAATTAATTAATTAATTAATTAATTAAATTTTTTTTTTCACAATTTGAATTTTATTTTATTTTTGAGCTTGTCATGAGTTTGAACAAAAAATAATAAATATTTAGCCAAAAAAAAAAACTCGTAACTCCTGAAAAATCTTGAGCAATTTAACCTACGAAATTTGTTCTGGACAATTATGTTGTAACCATGTACTTAAAACTTAAGCGAATGGTAAGAAAGAAGTGAACACTGATAGACAAAGATGATGGGTTGATTTGGACATGACATGTGAACAACTGAACGTATAAAGTTCTAAACATCTTGCAATTAATGTAAAATTCATCATACAACTCAATACACATGGTATAAATTTTATTAAATTTCTATCTCCTGAGAAGGAAGTAATTACCTCATAAAATCACTTAACGGAAAAATGTTAAAGTCACCCCTTGAAATAGTTAAAGGTTTATTGCTAAAAAAATTCATAACTCGTTATACTTTGATGAGAGTTTTTTGCAATTATTCTAATTTTTACTATAACATTTCTAAACTATCATTTCATATTGATTTGATTAAATAAATGTACTAATTACGGAGTACTCATTTATATTTTAACAAGGATAAATTTAAAAACTCACTCTTATCAATAAATAAAAAAATAACGAGTTATATTCCCCAAAGATTCCAAGAATTCTAAGACAGAGGGAGTATAAAAATAACTAAGGATATTAAGAAATTCATAAATTGTTAATGAGTCTAACTGTAAGAAGAGAGATTGAACAAAAGTTAAGACTAGAAACAAAAGTATTGGAAAATTAATTTACATATATTCCAAGAGCATCAATAATCATGCTATCTAATTATAAAGAAAATTATGGAAATTGTAGAGCTCAATATATAAAAAATGCATGAAATGTGCCGAAAATTTTAACTATAAATTCAGCAATTATGGATAATGCCAGAAGGAGCATTAACTTTAGCTTCAAATTTTAGGGAAGGCTGTTCTCCAAAAGTGGACAGCTTGAGTTCAATACAAGACATAAACCTAAATATAATAATGTGATATTAAAATTTGTATAGTGAGCCAGTAGATAAATGGGATATTTATATTTTGTTTTTAGTTATTATACATAGTCCGAAAGTCGATAACTCATTACTTTCTTTGGTATTTACCCAAAAAAAAAAAAAAAAATTTATAGGTCAATCCCATTAGCTCACACCCCACATAAAACAGTCAGATTAGTTCGACTGTCAGACTATATCTCATTTTTCTTTTACTTTAATTCAACTTCTTCAAATCACTTCTGATTTATTTTTATTTTTTATCCTCCTCTGATTTCAAATTTATATTACCCAAATTAAAGTTTCAATGGTATATAAAATTCTCTTTACATTATAATCCAAAGTTTTAATGACATTTTCAATGCTACTGGAATTTCTGCCACTAGTCTTCTATAAAAATATGGAAGCATATATCAGATTCAAGATGGAAGAAATACATTGTAGACTTGTGTGTGCATATGTGTGTGTGTGTGTGTGTGTGAGAGAGAGAGAGAGACCTGTAGTCCTTTTCAAGAGAAGCTTCAGGGAAAGTAACATACCGAAAATTTCAATGAAGGGTGAGATTTTTTATGAACCACTTTGCTATAAGATTATTATTATATAATGGATTTAGATCATATACACTTAATTTGTCTCACCAAAGAGTAACAACCAATCATGTTTAAGCTCACAATAATGCAATTGGTCAGTTATGTATATTTAAATTTAAAATGTATGACCCAAAGTACAAACACGCTTGGGGGTACAACAGCTAAGTTGTTTCTAGACTGGAAACTCAAAATTTCGTACTAATTTTCTTTCAATTAAATTAATTAATTAATAAAGGGTTGGTCATATTTTAATGTCTATTTGCATATATAACATACATTTTACATTGAACTTTTCTATTTGTACTTTATTGTTGAAGGCATCTCTCCGCAGCATCTTCCCTCTTTCAACATTGTTTATATCGGAGTGGAAAAAAAAAAAAAAAATTGTTGTTAGTGATTTTTATCGTGATAAACATTAAGGTCAAGCCTGTATAAGTCCAAAATATAAATACATAAATAAATAAATAAATAAATATATATATATATATATAGTTGCATAAAGTCCAAGTGCGCGTGTTGTGCACGGGTGTGTGATTTTGTTATTCTTTACCTTTGGAGGGGGGTGGTGGCGGGCAGTTGTGATTTATTTATTATTATTATTAAATTGTTGCATTGGTTGTCATAATGTTGACCCATTTTTTCTTTTTCTTTTTTTTCTTTTTTCTTTTTAAAAAAAAAGAAAAAAAATTCTTGTATGATAATTTTTTGTTTGATATGATGTCCTTGTAACATCTTATAATGAATGTGAAATGCTATTTACAATAATAATGATGGATATTATTTAAATAATGCCAGAATTAGGTTCAAATACACTTCGTTCTTATCAAACACAACAATAGGCATCCAAGAAACTTGCATAAAATGTGTGTGTATATATACACTAAAGAGAGGAATAATATCTTCTTTTTTTCTCGAAAATTCAAGCAAACACAAACGCACTTAGACCCACCCACCCACCCACCCACAAAATAGAACTCAAAACACTCGATTTTCCGAAAGGAGAGATCACCCCATTTGGAGTACTGCCAATATCTTCATGTTGTCACAAAATTTCCCTACCACATTATCACGTGCAGCCTACGTGGCATAACCTCACGGTGAACATGCATCAATTGCTACCAATAGTGAAAGAAAATAAAAATTGAAAAAACAGGGGACTAACTGCCGTCATAACAGCATTTTTACATAAATGTGTAGGTAACTATAACTTTGTGTGTGTGTCTGCATGTAAAATAATGCAACAACAATCAAGTATCCAATGAATTTTTGTTTTTGTACAATAATTTACAACTAATGTTCTTCAATCTCAAAATTGATGAGCTAATTTTTTCAAGATTTCAGGTGGCAAATAAAACTTCCCTTTAATGATTAAAAATGAACATATACTCAAAATCTCACAACCACCAGGAAACATTCTTCCTCGAAATCAATAGAACTGTCTGCTAAACCCTAATGAATCATGTTTAACATATTGACTCTAAATCTTAGTCCTCAGCCTCAAAATCTCTATTACCACCAGATGGGAACACACACTGCCTCCATTCAAATATTCTCAACCAGTCACTTTCTGTTCAGATTTTTAAATTCACATGGTGATGTTTCATTTCTAATTAAATATCATCTTCAGATTACTAAATTATTTCACCAACCCTTGAGTCAGATTAGAAGAGGACTTATATAATAGATTAATGTTTATAACCAAGGTTTAGTTAAGTCCAATGTTTCAACAAAGGCTAGGTCTGAGTGTTCTTGAGTTCAAATCCTGACTCATTCAAGACTCATTAGGCAATGCAACAGTTAATCAACATTTAATTAGACCAAAAATCAAAATCATTCTCCGTACCTGCCACGTCGTTGAATTCACCTAGCACGCAAGAGAAATAATAAACCTTGTATTCCAATACTGAGTCAAAACTCAGTGATTCCAAACAAGCTCATGAAAGATCTTCCAAACCATGGTTACTGTCATGAAAATGAACTACAATGGCATGGTTCCCAGATGCAGTACATTGCTGTTGTCATTGTCGGCGTAGCTTTCTTCCTTGAGAGTACTTTTGATTTCTTTAATACCTTGAATGATTAGGTCCACACTGCAACAAGAAATGATTTGATCAGTTTGGCTTGGTCTACCCTTCATTCCCAACCTCTGTTTCTTCTCAGCAGCTTCTTCAATTCCTTTTAACACCACAACACAGATTCAGTTCTGCAATAATAAATTTCAATAAAGTTGGCTTGTTCTTCTCATCCCCTACTCTCTTTTTTCTTTGATCTTCCTTGCAGTTTCTTTTGATCTCTCATAATATACAATTCAGTTCATTTCTGCAGCAAAGAGAGGTTCCAAGGGAGTTTGGCTTGGCTTTTGGTTCGCGTATACCTCTGTTTTCGTTTCTCTATCTCCTCTGTTCTCTACCTAGGTCTTCTTTATCAGCAGCCCAAAACCTTGCTCATCTCTTCAGTTTATGGAACTTGCAAGTGCCTAGGTATCATGGGAAGGAACACTGAAAAACAGATTAGTCTACAGTCAGGATCTAAGGTAAGAACTAAATTATTTAAAGACAATTCTTCATAGCTTTATCTTTGAAGTACTATTCTATAAAGTTATCATACCTAAAAGCTTCAGAATTCTGATATATAGAAAACAAATCAGGCTACGATGGAAGGCGATATGAGAAAATCCCTATTTTCTTCAATTTCAAAGTCAACAATCCAGAATGGCAGACCAAACAGTATGGTTATTAAGGTATGTTCTAAGTTCTGTTTTCTCTATATTTTTCACGAATCCCCTCCTGTGGAAAGTTTTCATCTGATATCAATTAAGTACTAATTTATTTTGAGAATTTGTTATGAAACAGAAAAAGCATACAGTAATTCCCGCTCACATAGTAGCCGAGGCCATATCAACACTCCATGGTCTTGATCTGAGATGGTCAGGTCCTATCACACCGAACGAAAGGCAATATGTTGAGCAGTATGTTCTTGCGAAGTACCCAGAATACTCTAATGCCCTAGTTGAAGGAGGAGAAAAGACTGACCTCTATGAACTTTGCATCAAAGAGGAGCCTTCAGAGTCCCCACTCGATGATAAGCGAAAGTCACCTCGGGGTGGTTTTAGAGAGTCATCCTCACCCTCATTTGGAAGCAATCTTCCTGATCTAGACAAAACCCAGCTGGAGCCATCGAGACTGCTTGATATCCTCACAAAAAAATCCACCTTTCAAGGGAGTTTCATCTCAATCCCTGAAATTCAAGCTCGAAATAAGGTCTTGAAGCACTGTGGATTGCCTGATGAGGATTACCTTGTTCTCTTCACTCCAAGTTACAAGGATGCCATGATGTTGGTCGGCGAGAGCTATCCTTTCTTCAGGGGAAACTTCTACATGACCGTTATTGAGGAAGAGGTCGATTACATAAGGGAATTTGCAAGTTACAAGGAATCGAAAGTGATCTCAGCCCCAGAAACTTGGTTGGATTTGAGGATCAAAGGATCACAACTCAGCCAATATTTTAGAAGGAAGTGCAAGCACGGCCACAAGGGACTATTTTCTTACCCAGCTGATGTGAATGGGACCCGTTACTCGATGCATTGGGTTTCTGAAGCCCATCGGAACTCATGGCATGTTCTGCTCGACGCGACTGGACTAGTGGTAGGGGAGGATCGGTTGAACCTCACACTCCACAGGCCTGACTTTGTGTTGTGCAGCATAGACAATACACATGCTCATCCTTCAAAGATCACCTGCCTCTTGGTTAGGAGGAGATCCTTTGATACAACAACATCACCTGCACAAGAGTAAGGTGTATTTGTACCAGAATTCAGAAACTGTTTAAATTGGTTCAGTGATATCTATATACTACTACATGTTTGCACTATGAAATTTGAAAATTTTAACAGCTTCCTGTATGCATAGCCCATCAAAAAGAACATCTTTCAAAGAACCTAGAAGTCCAAACCAGATTGAATCATCAAAAAGATAGTAAATGTTGTAGTTAGCTAAGGTAGTCCTTGGATCTCGAACTACGATTGGAGATCCATCTAGGATAGTACCAAAATTGTTACTCTCTCTATCCCAAAATAGTTGGGTGTTTTGGGAACTGTGACTCACAACGGTGCTTTGGGAATGAGGGAGTATTAGCATTTCTTCATAGAAACCAATTTCACCTTTTCTAATAATAACTCTTGCATCATTCCACATTATCATCAGCTCCACCCAGGTTCATTTCGAGAAGGAGATGAGTTTTTAAAGCCAGCGAAATCCTTTGCATCCATATCCATGTAAAACTTTTATACTACAATGTAGTTAATACTGAGAGAGCAAGTTGGCCTACCAGGTTCATGGTCCTATCCACGGATAGTTTGTTGACCTATCATTCATGGTCTGCAGAGATGGCTGGAATTTCCTAAATCATCACTACCCATATCCCAAAATCCTTCTAGGACATATCCCTTGATATCTTCATATTCCAAGATCTTGCAGTGAATTTTTGAGTACAAATACTGAAGATAACACTACTTCCAGTGGAAGAAACTGGTGGATGTCACATAACCATACGTGGGTGCAAGTTTTCACAAGACCTTTACCCCTTGCATTGTAGACTGCTAACCAGTACCACCTGTGGATCAAACAAAAAGTAATGAGTTTGTTAAATGAGTCCGAACTATGTCCACGGAAAGATTTATTGCTACATCCAGCAGCAGCCTTTTAGGTGTAAATCGAATTCTGTACTCCATTGAAAACAGGATGAATGAATTGCCTCATTATTCAAGCATGAAATCAAAATTGTTTTGGCCCATAAATGGTCTTCCTACATGATTTATGCAGTCAATTCAAATGTTAATCCAAACGCAACCCAAGGAAATCCATCAACAATTCCCCCTGGCATAGCCCCCAACCCCTCCTCCTACCCACCAAAGTGACGTCAACTTACATGTAATAGAGCACATCATAGTCAGCATAATGCTGTTATGCAACTTACTAGGCATTTTTGACATACACAATAAGCCCTCACTACGATTCTGCACATCAAGGGATCAAGTTTGAGAATGGCATATAGGTACTCAAAACCCTACTTGACTCTTACAAGTCCTCAAGCCAAACCCAACAAAGCTGACAAGGGGGTGGAATCATTTTTCAAAGTAACCAACTGGATAAAGCTTACATCTTTAGTTTGATTCTCCCCCACTTAAACCAGCATCACAAGAAATATCCCTTCATCAAAATTTGGAGTGTGACATTGGTGTTTGCAACGTGTTTGGAGGGAAACAGTCTCACCCAAATGATGGGACACCCCTCAAAAAATAAAATAAAATAAAACTCGTGGCAAACATTTTACTCTAATATTGAAACAAAAGATTGATAGAGGAAGCTGAGGTAGGGTTGAAAGAGCTCAAGGAAGATGCTGAGTCTGATGGAGCTAGATTTAGAACAGTTGAAGGAAAAACTCATAGCCTATGGAAGGAGGAGGAACTGTTTTGGAAGCAGAAGGCCAGTGTATAAGCAAAATAGCATTTCTGTTTGATGCCGCAAAAAAGGAACAGACAAAAAGGTCACAATGGTAACATGTGCAATTATATATGGAGAAGCATAACCTAAAGGTCCATGTAATAAGTATATCAATTACAATATTTCTTTTACTTTTATGTTAAAGGGATACAAGCATATTATTGAACTTAGCGCAAGCAATATTAATCCTTCATCCACTTCCAATAAACTCCAGCTCTCTACAAACAAAGCTTAAAGATCATTTTCAATTATTCACATTTTCTTAAGTGAAAATGTTTACAGTCAACCAGAGATCAATGTGCATACCTCCATAAAAAATAAAATAAAATAAAATAAGAGGGATCACACACTTTTTTTTTTGATAAGTAAAAACACACTTTTTTTAATCATATTAAAACCTCATTAGTCCAAGCCATGGCAAAGGATTATAAATACAACAATTTATTAAAGCAAAACAAGCATCTTAGGAGTACTACCACCAATAGGTCCATCCTTTAAAACGTAACTGTTCAAAAATGACAAAAATGGATCAAAATATTCCCCGCTCAATCATCTTCTATTTTTTTTGTTTCATCATCATTTCTATTACTTGGAAGCTAAATTACTCGATCTGTGTGATGCAATTCATCACGTGCAAAGTACATAATAGGAACAATAATCTAAACTGAAACAAATAACCTGCAGAACAAAACACGCGTACAAAATTTCATATTAAGATTTAAAGCATACATGAATAAGCTGCTAGATAGCATCGACAAAAGTACTCTACCATAGAATAAAAATACTATTGATCCAATCAAATAAACAATGACATTGCAAATAATTAACTTCGAAAGCATAGGCCAAACCTTTGTTTGGCAAGTCTAGAATTGCTAAATAGAATATATTTCAACCAAGATTTGCTCGTCCAGAAGATCAATATATCGATTTCCTGTCGGTCTCAGGAATCACGTCTTTGAATCTTTGAAGGATCCATCACTGGGGTTCATAAGTGATGGATCGCAGGGAGGACAACATCCAATAAGTATGGCCCAGGTGTATCCAAACATTTCCTAAATTGGAGCCCAAAGATCTCCTGTCTTTATCACAAGGGCAGAAGGTATCTCACAAGCTTCTGCGAACTCACAGCTGGGAATTTCTCACTCTTTTGATAAATTACCTAGATATGTGTGGGCCTATTAGCTTTACAGAACTGATACTCCCATCAGACAAGCATACTCCCAAATGCTGATCATTCTGCAACAATATCTTAATGGGAAGATTCTCCAGTCAAACTGTCTACAACTCCTGGACATTCATGATAAAACTTCCATCGCCATCAATGTCCACAATCACTGCATCAGGTCTCTTAAAAGAAATTCCAATTGCAGAAGGCAATACAAAACGCATTGCCCCAATTTACCAAATGTCAGCCACTGCCGAGGCAATGAGGCCTATTGTACTTGTAAAAACTGTTCCATCCACATCTGACTAGGCTCCAAATCAGTAATTACCCTTTGTCAATGCATCCAGTGCCTGAATCGCACATTGAGGAACAGCATCTCCAAAAGTCAAACTCAATGCCAATTCATTTTCTGCTCATTTAGCTTCTGCCTCCAACATGAAAAAAATCTAGCTTATGCTCAGCTCCTTTCCTGCAATGTCCTGTTCAGACCTTTCAAAACCAACTTCACATCTGCACAAACCGATATATTAGGTTGCTTATTCTTTCCCATCTCTGCGAAACCAATATCTATGTGAACAATCTCAGCACAGCTAGAAAAAGCTTTGACCTTTCTTGTGGCCCAGTCATCAAACCTGATCCAAAAATAAAGCAACAAATCACTTCTATCCATAGCATAATTAGCATAAACAGTACCATGCATCCCAGGCATATGAAAAATAGCCCATCAGATCAAGGATAAGCACCAAGATCCATCAAAGTACTAGCCATCAGAATCCCTATAAGCTCCACAAATTGCCTTAACTCCTCACTCAAATTCAAACATGAAACAGCCACCAGCGAAATACAAATCTCATATGTTAATCCAATTCCAAAAAGTGGTTGTGTGTGAGGTCGGGGTTCTGTCCAGCAGGCAGGTGCACTACCTAGGGTGATTTAGTCAGCACAAACCCATGGTGGCGTGATTTATAGCTACCAAACCCATGGTGGGTTGGGTGTGCACCATATAGCTGCTGGCAACAACACATCCAATCCAACCACTTTAATGCCTCACTTGGTCACAAACCCACGCTACTGGGCTTGGCGATATTGGAAAGCAATAATGCATATTATAAAGTAAAACATCATATTATACTTAATCGACGTGGGACTTGGAATTTTAGCTACTGGTTTTTGTTTCAGATCAGTTTGTCTTACTGGTTTCATTAAAGTAATTGATGACTAAACTTTTATTTCAAATCAGTTTGTCTTATTGGTTTTTATTTCAGATCAGTTTGTCTTATTGGTTTCATATGTTAATCCCATTCCATAACAACTAACTGTTATATATATTCGGAATATCAATCAACAACAGAACCAGGTGAGATGCAAGAAAGAGGGCTTCACACACAATCCGAGGAATGTCCTCCGAACCAATAGCTAAAATGGTTCCAAATTTAAAGAAGATTTTTCAAGAATAAATGTAACCAATAGCTCACCTTTCACTCATACACGCACATTATATAATAATAATAGATAAATAAATAATTGTAAGCAATAGCTTATCCATCATAGTTTGTTGAATTTTCAAGAAATCATCAACCTTAATCTTTATGCAACCAATAACTAAAGTGGTTCCAAATGAAAAGTTCATTTTTCAAGAATAAATGTAACCAATAGCTCAACTTTCACACACACGTACACACAAAAAAATAAAAATAAAATAAAATTTGTAAGCAATAGCTTATCAACCATAATTTGTTGAATTTTCAAGAAATCAACAACTTAATTTTTATGCAAACAAAGATAAATCCATGTGTGTGTATATAATGTAGTACATAAGAGAGAGAGGGAGAGAGTCCAGACACGAACCAAAAAGTGATTGTGTGTGAGGTCAGGTCTGACCAGCTGGTGCTGCTAGGTAGGGTGCCCATTTCTCCAATCAACCATGGTTGTTGCTTTGCAAGGTTGTGGGGCCCCTTCCCAATTTCAACACAATTTCATGAGAGTTGATTGATACCAAACCCATGGTGGGTTAGGTGCGCACCACTTTGCTGAGGAAGTCGGAGAAGGATGCACTCCCCCTACTAGATTGTATCAACATAACCACTTTACCATATAATAAAAATACTATTTATCCAATAAATAAACAATGACATTGATAATAAGTAATAATTAACTTAGAAAGCACAAGTCAAACCTTTTTCTGCTAAGTCTAGAATTGCTAAATAGA